AAATTTAATGGACGGCCAGGGTAGGTACAACATTCGGAACGATACCCTGGAAATTCCATCGGGAAATACGTGTACACGACAGACTTAAGTTAAAGCAAGAAAAAGGGCAAGAGCTGTCAAATTTGAATAGTGACCTTTCCGAACCTGCTGTTCAGTGTGTAATGTGTGAATATATTTGTTAATGTGTTAAGTTTTGCATATAAAACAATGTATGAAGTTGATAGCGAAACTGATATATATATAGTATTATAGTATATTCATTTTTTTTTTAAATGAATAATTTAATAAATATATTTTTAATAATAAATAAGAGTATTCATTAATAAGATTGTGTGAAAATATTTGCATTCACTTGTCTAGATTTAAGCGTATTCATTTTTATAAAGTGAATACTTCCGTATTCACTTTTACTAGTGTTAATACAACAAAGGCTCGGGAATTTATATCACGTACAAACATTAAAGTGATAATTAACATAACATAATGGCATGTAACATAATTAAAATATATTGTAAAAGGATTAATATAATACTATATATAAAATAAAATGATATATATATATATATAATAAATCTATCTTTTAAATAAATAATTTAATAAATACTTTTTTTTTTATTAAATAAGAGTATTCATTAATTAGGTTGTGTGAAAATATTTGCATTCACTTCTGTAAATTTAAGCATATTCATTTTAATAAACATGAATACTGCCGTATTCACTTTTACAATCGTTAATACGGCCATATTTATATTTACAGTCGTGAATATGTGATAATTAACATAACATAATACATTGCAACATAATTAACAAAACATATTGTAAAACGAAGAATATAATACTATATATACAAATAAAATGATATATATAGTAAATATGTTTTTAAAATAAATACCTTTTTTTTAAAATAAATAAGAGTATTCATTAATAAAGTTGTGTGGAAATATTTCCATCCACCTCTATAAATTTAAGAATATATAAATTATGATAGCGAAACTGATATATTTATAGTATATTCATTTTTTTTAAATAAATAATTTAATAAATATATTTTTAATAATAAATAAGAGTATTCATTAATAAGATTGTGTGAAAATATTTGCATTCACTTGTGTAGATTTAAGCGTATTCATTTTTATAAACATGAATACTTCCGTATTCACTTTTGATAGTATAAATACAAAGGTTCGAGAATTTATATTACGTACAAACATTACGAGTGATAATTAACATAATATAATACATTGTAATATAATTAACATAACATATTGTAAAAGGAAGAATATAATACTATATATAAAAATAAAATGATATATATAGTAAATATATTTTTTTTAAATAAATGCTTTAATAGATACATTTTTTTAAATAAATAATAGTATTCATTAGTAAGGTTTTGTGAAAATATTTCCATTCACTTCTGAATACTGCCGTATTCACTTTTACAGGTGTAAATACAGCCGTATTTACTTTTACAATCGTGAATACAGCCCAACTAGGCAGCAGCCCATACAGGCAGCAGCCCAACTAGCTACGTGGCACTATGGCGAGATAAGGGAACTGTTCACTGGCTTAACTTCTATTCACTGTTCACAACAGTATACAATAAATAACAACTGTACTTACAGTTGCATTAGCTCATAATTTGATCTAGGTGACTAACTGGCATCTTGACACTGTTAAAACTAATTGAAACTAACACTATTTTTTTAACGAAAAATTAATATTTCTTAGAGATGAAGTATGGGTTGACTGTTATAATTTAGAGCATGCGCAGAACTCTGCGCAATTGTGTATTAAGTTTTGTTTACTTTTAGGATTTAATTGATAGAGTCCACTATCATGTTCTCAGGTGCTCTTTTTACAAAAATATTGCCGGATTTCAAATCAGCAATAGTTTCATAAAAAGTACCCACTACAATATAACAGTATATCCTAAGATTTAATCGGAAAGTTACAAAAACTTTATGCACGATTGCGCAAACCGAGAATTGATAGTCTATTAATATATTAAACATCCCCCTCAACATAACACTAGACTGTTATTTAATATACCGAAAAGTTGATTTTAAAAAACTAGATACAATCTTAGTGCCATCAACAGGAATATATATATATATATATATATATATATATATATATATATATATATATATATGTATATATTTATGTAACGATTGATCCTTGAATTATGAGTTTATTCGGTGTATTTTTATTCAGCCAATATTTTCACTGAATAAATTTTTATTCCGTAATTATTGGTTATTGAATAACAAATAAAGTAAAATTATTCTGGTTATTCAATCAATAACCAATAAATACGATATTGTTTTTAATGATGGAAATACAAATAAATTTTCATGCATTATTCGAATAAATTTTGCCTAATTGTGATTTGAAGCTTTGGGTTAGAACACTTGTTCTTAAATATACATTTAATAAAGAAACACATTATATAATAAAGTAATTATTTACATATATATCTATTTAGTTGTAATAAAGGAAATTTTATTTAATTGTATGTTCCCAAAATTGAAATTTAACCCTTAAAGTGGAAAATATGTAATTCAATGCAACAAAAAATAAAAAATGTGGTGTTTCGTATAATACAAAGTTCAATATGTTATTATAGTGATAGATTGAAACAGATAGATAATCAGCTTAAAAGGTTTTCATAAAATGTGTAATTATATGAAAATCCGATTAATACTATTTGTTATAAATTTGAGATCTAAAGTTAGTTCATTGGAATCAATTGCAATCTTAAGAGACTATCACAACTCTCAATTTAAGTATGTATTACTTTGAAAACAAAAATGTATTTTGTAAGTTTGTCTAAATAATTGTTGGTATAAATTTTGTGTGAAACATTGTTACAGTTTTTTGCATTTACGTTGAGAGTTCTGAAGTCCTCTCCTTATGAATTCTAGCGATTATTACTAGCAACCATAAGGTGTTTGTGAATGAAGTTGAAAGAAAAAAAATATCTGGGTAGGGTATTCTCGCCCATCAAAGTTTTAGTAATTTTATTTTTCACAACTTGTAACCCCATTACTCTTTTTCCACCAACCATTGCACTTAGGTCATAATAATAATCATTAGAAAATTGTTTAGTTCTTAGGACATTGAAAATGTTCAATATAAATTTTGGATGATTTTTTTTTTACCGTTTTTGTAGTTTGGTTAAGACTTCAGATGTCACCAGATAAGTTTATAATATTCAGATGGATGAACCATATTTCTAAACTTGATAGAATAGCAGTTGTAGTTTTTGAGTGAAGTTTAAAAAGAATATAAAAAATATGGCTAACCCTTCGTAAACTCTCTCTTTGTAAATCCTCTTCCTCACCGATCTACCCGGTTTCACCTGATGAACTAAATTCCTACTTTATATTTTCCACCACCAGCAACAGCTCACCCACCTCTTACCAGTTTTCCTTATCACCCTCATTTAACAGTGATAATTTCTATTTCTCCAACATTTCACCAACCGACCTTATTTCCTTTATAATGAAATCCCACACAAACTCCATCGGACTTGATGGAGTACCAGTCAAACTGTCAAAATTATGCCTTCCCGAAGTCGTTCCAGTTCTCCTTTTCATCTATAATTTTTCTCTCCAGAACTCAGTTTTTCCTACTGCTTGGAAAAAATCATTAGTCAGACCTATTAACAAAATCCCCAATCCTACTTCTCCTAAAGACTACCGCCCAATCTCCATTCTTTCTAACCTTTCTAAACCTCTGGAAAGAATAGCTCAATCCCAAATCTCTAAATTCCTTGAAAACTCAAAACTACGTGATCCTCTCCAATCTGGTTTTCGACCTGGCTTCTCCACACAATCCGCCCTACTAAAAATTACCAATGACTTACTTACCGCAATGGACGAAAAAATGTTAACTGTGTTAATACTTCTCGACTTTTCCAAAGCTTTTGACTCCTTAGACCACTCTATACTCTACATTAAATTAAAATCTCTATCCTTCTCCAACAGCTCTCTCCTCTGGTTGAGGTCAACCAACCCCTATCTTCCTTCCTTACACTGTCCTCAGGAGTGGCCCAGGGTTCGAACATTTCCCCTCTCCTTTTTAATTCCTACATAAATGATCTTTCCAAATCCATCTATCACTGTTCACATCATTTATACGCTGATGACTCCCAAATCTATTTTTCCTTTCATCCTTCTGAGCTACTAGTCACGTTCGTCAATATTCAGGCAGACCTAGATAGGATCAGTGCCTGGGCAAGTCTGAATAATTTAAATCTAAATGCGATGAAAACTCAGGCCATTATTATAGGTTCCAGTTCTGTTCTTAAATCCATTTCCTTCCTTCCTCCTTTAGTCATCAACGATCATCCTATAACATTCAGCTCCTCCGTTAAAAACCTAGGAATCACCATAGACGAAAACCTCTCCTGGAAACCCCATATCGCCCTCATCTCCCTTAAGTCAATAGGTACCCTTAAGCTATTTCATTGCTCCCGCCACCTACTCCCACAACCCATCCGCAAGCTCCTTGTATCCTCTCTCATTTTCCCCCATTTTGACTACGGCTGTGTGGTGTACGGAGGCATACATCCCGATGGTACTCGAGGATAGATTGAAGAGACTCATGAATACGTGCTTAAGATTTGTCTTCGGTACATCAAATTTAATTTACCAACCCTTTAAATTTTTAGTATTTACTGTCTTAAGACATGAATTAATAGTCAGTTATGGGGTAACTGGTAAAAATAATTTTTTTTTTCGAAGTTAGTGAATTACAAGGACAGATATCTCGGAAAATATAGAAGATAGCGTAAAAATGAATATAATCATTTCTGTTGCAAATGTTGTTAACTTTAATTTTACATTGAACATTATTATTGCTATAACGCATAGTTTCATTGATATAAGCGAAAAACCGACTGCACTACCAGTTTATGTAATCTAGACTATACTCTGCTTTGTTTTTTAATACTTAGAAAATATTAAAATAATCATACATCAATATTTTTTTAGTAACTGAAAGAGAAGATATGTCTGATGTGGAAAATGCCTCTTCTGAAACAGAAGACTATGAGACCTGTGATTCTGGAGTTTCAGAGCAAAGTTCTCAGAGTGATGAAACTGGAGGAAGATTGTATGTCTAATATCTTGATTATTTATATTGATTTTAGTATATATATTTACAACTATAGTATTCTTCATTGTGTTTAGATCTATGAATAGATCATCTTCTTTTATTGAGAAGATTCAGTGGAAACAACATTTCATTGCTTTAAATGGTATGTATTTAAATCAAAATATGAACTGCTGTTATAATAAATAGATGTGAAATTTTCGGAATGGAACAAACAACCTTTTAATTATGTTAACTATCATGGTATTTTTTAGGAATTCAGTGTAAACAGACCATTTAATTTAGCCATATTTCATTATTAATATTTCCAATGTTAGTATATTCTTCTTCCTTCGGTGCTATGGCCCGTGAAGAACCTTGGCCTCCTTCTTAATTTTCCTCCACTCAGACTGATCATCTGCCAGTATACATTAAACAGAATTTGTATATAGTAAACATAACAACTGAAAATAAAAAAATCATTTTTTCATATTTTAGGCAATAAAACTTCCAATTTTCTTCATATTTTTTTATTTATGCTTGTTGTCTCTTATGTTTCGGGACAATTTTCCCATCATCAGAGTAATATTTTTATTTTTACATTCAATTTTTTGATGTGGCACCATTTGTCAAAAATTAATTATTTGTCACGTTTTTTAAAAATTATTTGGTGTTACACATATTCACTGATACACTAATCAACATTAGTGTGTGCTACTCAACCTGTGCTACTCTCTTCCAATTGCGAACTCCTAACTTCCTCGTATCCCTCTCCACTTCATCCTTCCATCTGATTCTCGGTCTTCCTCTTTCCATTGAAGTGTGCTTCCAATATTTTTATCTGCACCCATTCATTCTCCATTCTGACTACATGCCCTGCCCATCTCAGCCTAATTGCCTTGATATAGTTAGTAATGTTTTGATTCTCTAATAAAGCCTCGATTTCATTGTTTCTTTTGATTTCCGCTCACCATTAACACTTGTAACACCGTAAATCCTTCTTATTATTTTCCTTTCAAATACTTTTAGTTTACGGCAATCCTCTTGTGATAAACACCAGATTTCCACTCCATAGGTGACTACTGGTCTAATAAGCATTTTATACAGCTTTATTTTTGTGGCTTTTGACTACAATGGAGACTTGAGAAGTTTTGCATAGTAAGCTCTATTACCAGCCATTATTCTGTTGTCTATTTCTCTGCTGATTATATTTTCATTATTGAGGGCAGAACCAAGATACACAAATGTGGGTACATTTTCGAACTTAAAATTCTTTATTGATTTCACTGCAGGATCTTCTACTTGCTGCCGAGGACAGTTTCAGGTATTTAGTTTTGTTTTCATTGACCACTAGTCCTACTTTGTTGCCATTTTCGTATATGATCACAAATGCCTCTTAAAGTGCCTTTTCACTTTGCGCAGCTATCACCAGCTCATCATCGTAAGCACAAATTTGCCAGGTCTTATCAACGATGGTACCTTTTTTAGCTACTTCTTTCACAGCAACATGCAGAGCTATGTTGAATAGTGTTGCCAATAAGGCATCTCCTTGACGCACTCCAGATTGTACCTTGAACAATCCACCAACTTTATTTCCAATAATAACTTTGGATGATGCATTTTCCATGGTCATGCATATTAAATTAATTAGTTTATGTGACACTCCACTTTTCATTAGCATTCTTAACAGAGCTGATCTCTTGATGCTATCAAATGCCTGCTTGTAGTCAACGAATAACAAATGCAGATCAATGTCACACTCGTAGCATTTTTCCATCATTTGTCTTATAACAAAAAGTTGATCTGTAGTACCGCGGCCAGCTCTAAAACCACACTGGTAATCATCTAAAATTTCCTCAACATATTTTCGCAGCCTTTTCAATATTAAACTAGAAAGGAGTTTATACAGGACTCCCAATAGGGTTATTCCTCTATAATTTGTGCACTGATCCTTGCTGCCTTTTTTAAGAATAGAACATATTAATCTAATCCTCCATTCATCCGGCATCTTTTCCTCTCTCCATTTTACCACTGCAGCATTTAATCAATTCAGCAACTATCCTGTCCTCACTGGAAGCTTTACAGTTCTTCAAGTCCATGATGTCAAACTCTATATCCTCTCTGTCAGGTTCATCAACTAGTGTTTGTGGTTGCCATACCTGACATTCTTCTTCACTCTCAACATCCTCTACCTCCAGACCAATGTTCAGCAACTCTGAGAAGTGTTCGGTCCACCTGTTCATCACCTCTCCTTCTCCATCCAAAGCCTCCCCTGTTTTACTTTTACAATTATTCTGCTTCGGCTGACTCTTACCTGAACCAATTAATTTCCTTATAAAATTTCCTACTTTCATGCATATTGTTCAACATTTCTATATTTTTTATACTTTTCCTCTCTACATACTTTCTTAGCTGCTCTTCTTTTCATACTGTAGGTCTCCTGGTTTTTCCTTGTGAACCTCTGTAAGATGTTCTGTCTGGCTTGATTTTTCTCTTCAATGGCTTTTGCACATTCTTCATTGAACCATTCTTCATTTCTTGCATTTGTAATTTCTCCCAATGTCTCTTCCGCTGCCTTGCCTATAACCTCCTTCACAACTTTCCATTTCTTCTCAATTGGCCCATATGTTTACAGACTTTACTAACATATTTTACCACTTTAAAAAAGGATATGCTTTAATGATGATAATGGTAAAAATACTTATATAAATATTGGTAATAATTTAGGCCTTAGTAGTCTCAATTTTTGGCTATTCAGGGATAAAATCTGATTTTAAAATATTTTGTCAATTTTCATCTGCAAAATATATAAAAAATCTCTCAGAGGACTTATTGGTAAACACTAGTCAATTCATAAATTCAATAAAAGTCTTCACAGTCTTGTACAGTTATCCTTCCAGAGAAGGAGAGGAGTTGTCAACATTAAAGTATTAAATAATAAATATGAAATCTAAAAAAAATTAGAGTTATAAAATTATTTGATGGTATAATTTTTATGATTCCTGTCCAGGATTGGGTCTGAATAATCCTGGGGTAGCTCCTGCCTGTTGTAAAAGGGGCACAGTGTAGGGCCTGTGACCCAACCTGTGTAAATTGTATTGAGAAAAAACCTCAAAAAGTTCTCGGATTTGAACAGTTACATGACGAACGGCGCAGCAGGAAAAGGATTAAACATTTGATTGCGATAGGAACATGGAAAGTGTGTGGGCTTATGGAAGCGGGAAATAGTTGTATGCTGTAAAACTGTTTTGAGGAATAGGGGATGGATGTGGTAGCCTTATAGGAGAATAGATGGAGGAAGGAGTCTGCTGTGATTGATTTAAATAAATATACATTCATCAATGGTGATCATATTAGAAATATTGTAGATGCAGGTTTCATGATGAAAAAAATACTGAAACAAGTAATATTAAAATATGAAACAGTAAATGAAAGAATTTGTTTTGTAAGACTTAAAGGGAAAAGTTTCAATATATCCCTGATGAGTATACATTCACCAACAGTAGAAAAAACAGATGAAGAGAAGGAGGATTTTTATGAATAATTTGAAAGAACCTATGACAAGATTCAGAAATATGATGTTAAAATTAATTTAGGGGACTTAAATGAAAAATTGGTGGAGAGAATCTGAGGAGATCAGTGGGAAACTGTAAGTCCCACAAAATTACTAACGAGGAAGAACATTAAAATAATAAGTACCACTTTTCATCAAGAGCGTAACCACTTAGAAACTTGGACATCACCGGATGGCAAGACCAAAAACCAAATAGATCACAATATGACAGAAACCAGGCACCAAAGTGATATTGAAGATGTGACATTTGCAGAGGGACCAATGTAGGTAGTGGTCATTTCTTGTTAAAGGTGAAATTTAGGCAGATATTAGCAATAATAGCAAATGGTCAAAATAGAAAAAGAGGCTATAAGCATAAGTATATTAAAAATACCAGACATCCAAAAAGAATATGAAAGAAAAGTGGAGGAATATCTAGGAAGAGGAGGAAAACATAAAAAATAAATAGGAAAAAATAAAGAGAGCTGTTATAAAGGCTGCTGAATTTCCTCTGGTTTCCCGTGGGAGAAGTGGGAAATAAGAAAAAACACTAGTTTGATAATAATAATAATAAGGCTTAGCGAACCCGAAGGTTCGATGCCGACACCACCAATCGCTTGTTACACACCTCCCTCCACCGTTCGCCGTCCAAACCCAGTCCCTTCAGATCGGCTTTAATGCAATCTTCCCACCTTCGCTTCAGTCTACCCCTCGGACGCTTACCATTCGGCACAGCAAATATTAACCTTTTAGGAATTCTCTCGTTACTAAGCCCAACAACTTTACAAGCCCATTTGATTCGCCGCGATGAAATTACCTCAATTATATTACCCGGATACAGCTCACGCAATTCGGCGTTGTGTAACCGTCTGAACTCTGCGGTTAACTCATCCTTCTTTGGTCCGAATATTCTACGCAATACTTTATTTTCAAAAACCTTAAGACGCTGCTCATCCCTTAATGTAAGCGGCCAAGTTTCGCATCCATAAAGAACTGTAGGCAAGATAATTATTTTATAGATTCTAATTTTTAAGTTTCGGGACAAGAGGCGCGAACTAAGTAGTTTTGTCACAGAAAAATAACAAGCATTCCCCGCCTTCAGTCTAACCTTAATCTCTTCTTCAATTTCGTTTTTTTCTAGTTATTGTAGAACCTAGATACCTAAATTTATCTACCTGTTCAAACATATTACCATCTATATCGATATCACCAGTAGTATCACCATTTTTGCAGCTAACCATATATTTTGTTTTATCCACGTTTATTTCGAGTCCTAGTTCTTTACCGGCTTTCATTAACGTTGTCGTATTTAGTTTTATAGTTTCAACGTCTTCGCTTAACAGTACCAGATCATCAGCATAGCCCAGCACGGATGTTGTCCCGCCCAGATCCAACCCTTTCTCGGTTCGCATTACCTCCCTAATGGCATGTTCTAATGCCAAATTAAACAGGACAGGGCGAAAGAGAATCCCCCTGTTTTAAGCCCGAATGAACCTCAAATTTTTCGGACAAATTATTACCGATTCTAACTTTATTGAGTGTCTCCGTCAAGCACATCCTGACTAGATTTACTAGTTTTTTTGGAATCCCCTGCTCGATTAGAATATTATACA